AAAAAAAAACACCATCACCAAAAAAAAGGGCACTTCGGAGTGTAAGGGCAAAAAGGGCATGTGCTCTGCACAGGTTGAGACCTATCTGTGCACGTGCCTGGCTCAGAGTGTAGGCTAAGTGCACAGATCTGCTCATAATAACACTTTTTTCTTTTTCGCTTTCTTTCTTTCGCTTCTTCTTCTGCTCCTCCTCCTCTTATTCCAGCTCCAAAAGCAATTTATTACATTTCTCATTGACCTAACACTTATACAATCTTATGCTAGCGAGTCATTGCGACATTTGCATACTAAATTATTGCGATTCATTACATAAAACCTTGTAAGCCCTTCATTTGTTACCTTATTAATTCATGTAGTTAACATTTTCTTTATTTGGTAATTTTTATATTCATCTCGTTTGTAAGATGAATTTTGTTTGTAGGGTTTAGGACTACGAACTGACCAGCTCTATTGAATTTCTTTATTATTGACTTTTTAAACGTGCAGACGTCCATTAAAATGCTAATCATTGTGGTCTACTGAAGGAGTGTCCAAGCAGTCAGTCAAAATTCTTATGTTGCAAACTTACAAATCGGTGAGTTTTGGTGCATTTTCACCCCCTCTAGCTTCCAGATGTCTTGCCAACTAATATTTTTATTGGTTGTCAGGACACTGAGTCTGTGTGTCAGTGCATTTAGAAGTATTAAAACCATGAAATGCCTTTAGACTGAGATCATGGAAGTGGTGCCTGGAAATTTTCTCATAAATTTTGCGTGAAGTCTCTGATGTAACACATCACTGTAAAACAAAACAATTTGCTTGAGCAGGGAAAACTGTTGAATTGACCTGTTCTTAAATGTCTGTCTCGTGGGTTGCATGGACATATTTCAGTTTTTACGCATGGCATACATCATGCCATGTGAATTATTTCTTCTCTGTGAGCAAATCTAAACATGGCATTGGTGAAATCCTACTCTGCAAGTTCTCTGGTTTTTTTTCCTCTCGTTTTTTTGGCAATAATTAAAAGTACATGTAATTTTTCACTCTAACTCACAGGTTGCACTCGCAAAACCAGGATCATTGATGTTGTGTACAATGCCTCCAACAATGAGCTTGTGAGAACCAAGACCCTGGTGAAGAACTGCATTGTTCTGGTGGACAGCACACCGTTCAGGCAGTGGTATGAAGCCCACTACGCCATTCCACTGGGCCGCAAGAAAGGGGCAAAGCTGGTAGGCTTTTATTTCCCAGCTCACACTATAAATAGATGAGCATGTCTATTATTAGAAATTGAGCCGTCTCAGCCTCAGACCGTTCATGGACCCTTGCATGCACATTGCACACAAAATGACAAGCTTTTCCAAAACCACAAGCTCCAATGTGTCATCTTTACATGGCTGCTACAATGCAAGCATTCTGAGGAGTATGTAATGGCATTTGGTGATTTATATTGACATAAGCGACAGAGACACTGGCAATGCAACACAGTTGAGCAGAGTTTAACTTTATGCAATCAAAATAATGCAGATTCCTAATAGTATCTTAACAGACCTGCAGCGATTTAATTTATGGCAATGCAAATGCAGACTTCGACTTCAAATTGTCAACATTAGATGCACTATGGGTTAATGTGACATCTTAAGCAAGAATAAACCAATGTTGTTTTCTAATTAAACTCTAATATTCAGTTCAGATATACAATTAAAGACCAGGACCTAGTTCCAACAATCTATACAACAGTATGTACAACACCAGAATCTAAACCTTCTTTAAGCTTCTAAGTGCATAAAATGTAATGGGAGATTACTCAGTATTTCGATGAGTTGCCTTTGTAAATTTACATATGCTACTTCATTCCTCAGACTCCAGAAGAGGAGGAGATCTTGAACAAGAAACGGTCAAAGAAGGTTCAGAAAAAGATTGATGGACGCAGGAAGAAGAGCAAGATTAGCAGTTTGCTGGAGGAGCAGTTCCTGCAGGGCAAGCTTCTCTGTGAGTTTTCCACACTTTGAGCCATTCACAATCATCTCCATTTTCCTAAACTGATCAATGAGAGCAAGAGGTTGTTTTTTTTTTTTGTTTAATGTCAACAGCATTAGCTAGAGGTGACACATTCCCATTAGTCCATTCAATCCATGGTCCAAAGCAAATAAACATTACAGTATGTGTCCTAATCCTTGCTAACTGATTTAGTAATATCACAGGATGATCTCATTTTTATTATCATTTGAGGCATGACCCATTACAACAAAAACAAGACCAAACTGTAGTCTCTTACACTCATTTCTGTTTTTTTTCCGCATTGTACAAAACCAGTTAGACTGGTATCAAAGACAAACCTTTGTTTAATTAGTCAAAGAGTCACAGTGCTTCTGTCCAAGTATGTTTTTTACTGTTCTACTGTCTCAGCCTGTATTGCGTCCAGGCCCGGCCAGTGTGGCAGACCTGACGGATACATCTTAGAAGGGAAAGCGCTGGAGTTCTACCTCCGGAAGATCAGAGCCAAGAAAGGCAAATAGCCTCAAGCAATATAACCAGAGCTCCACAGTGTGAGCATTTACGGGTGAAAATGATTGTATGAATGTGAAAAATTATTTGGGTTACCAGCGTGAATGATTTCTGACATCTAGTTACTTCCTAACGGCTTACAAAATTAGTTTTTAGGTGATTAGGAAGTAACTAATTTCTTTGTTTCTTTTTCCCTGAAATATTGCATTTTGCACAATATAAAATGTAATGCACTTCCACTCACCTAAGTATGATCACTTCTGTATCCCGCATTAACTGCACCTTCATGTTACTATTTATTGTTTTTTTTTTCTTTGTTCTATTTATTTCGGTCACTGTCACTTTAGCTCACCTTTTGAGAGTCCAAATTTAACCATAAAAAAATTAATCTTGTACATACACGATGACAATAAATGATTGAGTTTTGAATGTGAATCTTTCAGATTCCATGTTTAAAAAAATAATTGTGTGAAATATGACATTTTTCCCCATGCCTGATTGTATAAAACTAAAACTTGCATAAAAATGTAAGTCTTAAATAAGTGCTTCTGAGTGTAGAGCTCTGATTACATGAAACAATAAAATCTACTTTTAGATTATTGTATTTTTTGTTCTCGTTTGTGATATTTAATTATTTGAAACTTCACCTTAAAATGAGAGTTCTTCATTTTTGGGTGAACCATCCCTTTAAGTATATGTTATGACAGATTTTCTGAGATGAATGATCCTCATCCTCTCCAAAAGGTGGCAGACTCCCCCTAACAATGGTCTACAAAAGTGTATTAAATTGAAGTTCCCTTTCGAACAGTCTCTCCTGTTGCATCACAGATGCTTATGGGGAAACTCCTGTTTACTCTGATACTGAAGCCTGATTTGTTCACGTTCGTGTACCTTCCCCGCATTTTAGAGCAAATTTCCAGCGACGTTTCAAATGTTGCGCCGTGAGTGTGGCTCGTGCAGGGAACCTTGTCTGGGCAGCGCCCACGCAGACAGAATGCTCTCACTGAGAGAGCATGAGTCTCGCCCTTCTCCGCTCGCGGATCCCCTTCTTTAATGAAAGCTATCCTCCCTGCTCTGCGCTCCCATTTCCTCTCTCCCTTAGGAGGAAGAAACAGCGAAGCAGCGGGGCTCAAACACCGGCACCCACCCTGGCCTCCTTGATGAGTGGTACCTGAAGGGATGCCGTCAACATTCCTCCCGCCAACGGCCCGCCCTGTTCCTGCCCGCAGTTTACGAGGAACTCACCAGGACATGGTGCTCCCCCTACTCTGCCCATGTTAATCCGTCTACTTCTACTGCTCTCACCACTGTTAACGGTGTTGAAGAACAAGGTTATAGCAAGCTCTCCCCTCTGGAAGAGGTGGTCGCTGAGCATCTATGCCCTCCCTCCATTGGCCCTGGGGTTGAAAGCCCATGCTGCGCACCCATCTAAGCCCTGCAGGACTACCTCAGCCCTTGCAAACAGGGCTTATTCAGCGGCTGGCCAGGCTGGCTCTTCACACGATGGTGGTGCTCCAAGTATTCCAGACCAAAAAAACTCCTTGCCACATCCCGGTCCGTTAGGACAACATGACTGTGGTAGACTTTATCAATCACCAAGGCAGTCTCAGGTCACGCTCCCTTCACAGGTTGGCTCGATGCCTCCTTTTATGGGCACAAGGCAAACTCCTCTCACTGAGAGCAGTTCATGTGCTGGGCAGACTGAACCAAGGGGCAGACATGCTGTCCAGGGACAATGTGGCTCCAGGAGAATTGAGGCTACATCCCCAAACAGTTCAAATGATCTGGTCTGTCTTCGGCAGGGCAGAGGTGGACCTCTTTGCCTCAGAAGACAACTTACACTGCCCAATTTATTTTCGAAGCAGTGAGATGCCCTGGCCAGGGAAGTCAGATGCTCAGTCCTCTTGGTGGCCCCACTCTGGAGGAATCAGATGTAGTTCCCCGAGTTGATCCAGCTGCCATCAGCAGCCCCTTGGCTGATACCACTGAGGAAGGACCTGAGGAAGGCCGATACCACTGAGGAAGGGCTATTGCAAGCGAAGGGCATGATTTGGCATCCCTAGCCAGAGCTGTGGAGCCTTCATGTTTGGCCCCTCGACGGGAGCCTTTGCAGCTCCCCTTGAGTGTAACTAATACCATTTTGAGGCTAGAGCTCAGTTTACAAGACGTCTTTACAACCTTAAATGGTGAGTCTTTTCTGACTAGTGTGCAGCACGGAACCAGGACTCATCATCATGTGACGTGTTTGAATTGGAGATTGAATCTGCCTCGCCCTCATACTGTGCCCACTTGGGACTTATCTATAGTTCTCAGGGCCCTACGAGGTCCTCCCTTTGAGCCGCTCCAGTCGGCTGACTTGCAGCCCCTGTCGCTTAAGAGTGCCCTCCTTCTGGCTTTAGCATCAAGTGTAGTAAGCGAGTGGGTGACCTGCAAGCACTGTCAGTCAGTGCTTCCTGTCTTCCTGTCCCAAGACAGGGCTATGTACTAAAAGTGCTTTCCATTCCATTCAGAGCACAAGTCATCACCCACCTAGCTCTCCCCAATTCAGAAGGTGAGCAGGGTCCTAATCCACTCTGCCCAGCTCGGGCTCTTAAAGTGTATGTTGAATGCTCTGGCCTGTTTAGGCACTCAGAGCAGCTCTTTGTATGCTTTGGAGGCCGTTTTAAAGGGCTGCCGGTTACGAAGTATCTCACTGGATAGTCGATGCTATAGCCATGGCTTACGCCTCAGCGGGCTTGCAGTGTCCTATAGGTGTGAGGGCCCACTCCACCAGAGGAATGGCCTCCTCCTGGCCTTGGTCCAGCGGGATTTCTATTGGTGATATTTGTGTGGCCGCCGACTGGTCATCGCCGTCTACCTTCACTAGATCTTATTACTTGAACGTCCCTGCATTGCAGGCACGGATCTTGTCCACTTAATTCTACCTAATCCCCTTTGTAAGTGGAGAGGGTTATGTTATGTAGTCCTCAGCCTAAGCAGCTTGGGTCTTATTTTTGGCTCATGCTTACAGGAGCCCTCAGTACGGGTCCCCTTTTTAAGTGGAGTAAGTGGAGAGGGTTATGTTATGCAGTCCTCAGCCTAAGCGCCTTGGGTCTAATTATTGGCTCATGCTTACAGGAGCCCTCAGTACAGGTGCTCTGGGGCTGGGCTCACAGAGCGTCTTCATTCTGCACTTGCTTATAGCATGGCACTATTGGATGCGTTCCCTGAGATAAGGGAGCGAGTGTTGCATACACTGCTGCGCTATAAGGCTTCACGCGAATCGATGACTGTCACTTCAGTCAAAAGATTCTGATGAAATCGCGCTCCTCCCCTTTTGGTGGGTTGAAGTGCCATTGATTTGTGCAGTTACACGAAAGTGAACAAGTCAGGCTTCAGAATCAGAGTAAACAGGAGTTTCCCCATAAGCGTCAGCGACGCAATGCTTGTTCCCTTGTCTCAGGGAACCAAGGTTACATTAGTAACCGGAGCGTTCCTGCTCAGTAAATTATATGGCTGAGATTAGTTCGAATAAACTTTAAAAAAGTAAAGTGAACACATGCAAATCATTTGCAAAATGTCTTGCAATTTGATTCCCCAGTATATTTCATAGTGTTTAAACAGAATTTAATGATATTTGAGTCTGAGTAACCATATTTATTTAGTTAAACAGTCAACATAATTACCACATCTAAAATGCACAATGATGAGCATTAGACTGCAATATTCAAGACTCATTTATTTTCAGAGATTCAGAGATTGACATAATTATTCAAATTAAACAAACTGTACATTTTATACATACGTTGAAAGTGTGGTAGATATTAAAGCCATCAACCATTACAAAATAAAGAACTCTGTTTATCTGGGATGATGACAACCAAATGACAAAGCAATACAAACATTTGCAAACATTCACTGACAAAACACAGCAACACTAAATAATTGTATCCAACACAACAGCCAACAAATCAGAAAAAGAGCTCTGAGAGGGAAATGTGGCACTAATCACTGATGAGTTGTGGTGGTTCTGAAGTTTCTATCAAACCGTTCCAAAGTCACAATTGGATCTGTGCTGACCAGCTGGATTTATTAAGACTAGTGATGCCGTGATGACGACAAGGGAGTATCTCATGAGACTTTGAACATATCGTTCAAAATACTGTGAAAAAAACGCAATTTCATAACATCCCACAAATAAACACTCCACAACACAAACCCCTCATTATTTAACCTTCGTTGTCATGGAATAGCAGCTTTTCGGCTAGTAAAGGAAGCAGATATTTCAGTCCAATGAAGTGATCCAACCATGCATTTTAGGGAAATAAAAAAAAAAGTGAATTTTGAGAAAAACTGTAAACTCTTGACAGGTTGAAACTGCATAGACGAAAGAAAATAATTTAAAAAAGTGTTTGGTCTGAAAGAAGACAATTGTGTTGATGGCCGACAAGGTAAGCTGGTCCTATGTCTCCGTGTACACTGATGACATTTGGCTCAAGCTGCGATCGAAGCCACCCACCTGAAAGAAAACACTCTCCTCTGTGCCCGGTGAGAACTGGCAACCTGATCCTATGATGTCCGACACCAAGCTGAAACCTTTGCATTATGGAAAAAAGGATCATATAATTATGCTACTAATGTACCCCCTTGTTGGGTAGATAAGGTAGTTGTCTCTTTGAGGGTACTACCCAATTTTTGCAGATTTGAAATACACTTACACTAGGGCAGTGAAACTGGAGACAAACTGATCGGTAATATGGGAAAGAAAAAATTGACAAGACGACTACCAGCCAGATCAGTTGACCTGTTTCTAACCATGTTGCTTATTACTGGTGATGTTGTCCTATCCTAAAGCTACAGCGCCCCAAAATGACAACTGACAATATCAGTTGTACTTAATTTTAGTGTGAGATTAATTCATAATAAATGGATTTGTGTAGGTAAAGGTGTAGTCACATTTACCGTTGTTCTGCGAGTTTTAAATCTCACAATTTCCCATCAGGGCAAAAGTTGAAACAAAGCTTTGTGAAGTCAGCTTAATTATTTGTTCTGCCGCTGATTCATTATTTTATTTTAGTTTTAAAACATAATAGACACTGTAGACATTATTTCAGTGATTTTTTTTTAGTGCCAATACACTAGGGGGAAGTCGTGGCCTAATGGTTAGAGAGTCGGACTCGTAACCCAAAGGTTGCGGGTTTGA